AGGGATATGCTTTCACATCTACTTTGAGAGGCACCAAATGCAATCTAATTGGTCAGTAAGCCTGTTATTTTTAAACTTCCTTTAAAGCGGAGCTAAGCCCATCACTTTAACAGTTTCCCAAGGCATTCCCTGAATGATAGCTGTCACTCACAAGAACTTGTTCTTTCTTACAATCTGTCAAGCCATCATATGGCTGGTGTCCTAACTGATCACTTGTGCAGTACCATGAAAACTGCAGATCAAACAAAGGCTAAGGTAGCAGCTTCCTTGACTGTAAAGGATAGGAGGGTTTAATTCCACCTTTACAGACCAATCCATGCAACACAAGTGGCAGTTACAGGGTTGAGACAAACCATTTAACACTGACAGGGGTTCTTACTATGGTCAGATTTTATTAATTTATGTAAAACTTTCATCCCAAAAGGAAAATAAAACTGTTTCTGTAACTGCTTAAAAAGTGTAAGCTGGAGTTCAGCTTTAATTTGTCAGTCACTTATGTAAAGTCCATCTAAATCTTCTAGACAATCATAAAAAAAAAACAGAAAACTAAAGCAGATACCATATCTAAGGATTAGTAAACTGCAAGATATTAAATTTTTTTTATTTTTGTGTTTAGATACGCTTTACCCTGTGGGCCTTGTCACACAAGCAACTTTATAGCAGGGGTTTGTAGCAGCTACACATCTCTGCTACTGTTTTGTCCACGGATTTTTAATTTTCCGCATAGTTGCTGCTACTGTTGTCTACAATACCATGCAGTTACAAGATGCTGGTGCGCCATGGTCATCATCAGCTGCCCTAAATAACATGAGTAGCTACTGAAAAACATCAATCACTCCATCACAAAGGTACAATTTGATGAAATTGCTGCAACACAGACCTTTAATTGATTGCAATTCAGTTTCTCCTAGCAACATTATGGTTAATATTTCTGTAGTTGATAAAAATCACGTATACAAAAATGACTTTTTCTTCATAGTTTCCTATTAGCAGCCAATAGACAGTGCTATCTGACCAGCAAAGGGTCAGTATGGGTATGTATGTATGTGCTAAGTTCACAGCTGTTTCACTACATACCGTACATGCAGAATGCTTCAGAAGTAACAATAACTATTTCTTATGTGGCTGGTTTCAAACACGTTCTTGCAAGTCTAAGTTTAACCAATGACCCCTATTATTGTAAAATTCCTTGTTTATATATTCAGATAACTTAAGTATACTGGGGTGTTAAGCGTGTATGCTAGATACACAAGGATTATATTCTTCCTGAATCCATAGGGCAGTATTTAAGGAATTTTCGGTATAATGCACTTGGAAAGTCTTTTTCTTATACAGAAAGTGTTGTTAAAAGGTCAAACCCTAAGCGTCTCTACATAATTTGCTAAAACCAGAATAAAGTGTTTTAACACCAATCAATGTCTTATAATACTTTTTACAAGCTAAGGCACAGGAAAGTGTGAAAAGGTTGCAATCCCACCCAGAACTATAAACCTATGCATTTTTTTCTCTAAAACCTTATGTTTAATATTCACTCGGCAAAGAGCTCAGTGGTGATTGTACAAACGCATTAGTTAAACTACTATATAAAGCATCCACAACAATGCTTTATAGTTAAAACACAACAGGTTTTGGCATACAAAGCATTTAATATTGGGCTTGGCTGCCCTTTCTCTAGTTAAAAAAAGGCTCTCTCATCACAACCTCAAAATGACTTCCCATTTAACAAACACCTGGGATGGCTAAGTGAATGAAGAGGGCTGAAAGCTTGGGCTAGAGGCGATAAAAATTGGATTCATTTTTATCCACCTTGTGCAAAGAATTTCCTGTAAAACTTTTCTTTTAAACTTGCCTTTTCATGGTCATAGCTGGTATAATGATTCAATGTTACACAATATTATGTATATGACTATGCTTTTATTTTGCATTCAAACTGTGAATCAAATGAGCAGAAAGAAACACATTTGGTTTCCCATATTTATAGCATATAATATATATTAGATCCCCTGATTAAATATATAAATAAAATATCATTAGTGACCTGTATGGGTTAAGTGTGATCATGTGATTATAACTGATGGTGGTTAGGAGACTTAATAGACCATGTGTTTTTTTCTTCGCCTTTCCTGCCTCACAACGTTGCTCCATTGTCAAAGCCATCTTGGTTTCATTCTAAAGTTTAATGTAGAACTCAAACCAAAAATAATAAGACTAAAATTAGTAGCTCATTAAAAGATAAAATTAGATAACAGCTTCCGAGGTGATATTCACACCAATTTCAAAGATTTTCCCACATTACTTTTTTCTTCTACTAAATGTCCTCATTCTGATGTCCTGTCCAGCATTATTATGCCAATGTCTTCTGATTCCAAGTCACCCTGGAACTGCCCAGAGCCTGTGCCTGGACACTGAAATGAGAATCAGCCCAGTGATGAGCTCATGTCTTTGTCACTCTGCTTCCTTTTCATATTAGCATACTTCTTGACTTCACACAAATTGACTACTTGTGTTGCTTCTTGCTCTCACTTTCCACCAGCCCTGAAGTATGCAGCCTGAAAAGGGCTAATACCAGGTCAAATTCAGATATGTACACTAACTACATTTAAAAAATACAGGAGTTAAACAAAAAATGGAACCCCTACATGATCTGCAGGTGTGAAAGTGATGACATGTTTCGCACTGAAAGCAGAAGTTATGTAACATTCTTTTGCTTCCGCTGTGTGATGAGACACCTAGCTAACAGGTGTAAAGTTTCACTTTTAACATTCAATGCGTGTTCGGCTAGTAGTATGGAGTCATGTCAGAGCTACGTAACTGAGCTTGAAAGAGGGAAAATTGTTGGTGCCTGCTTAGCTGGTACCTCTGTGACTAAAGTTGCCAATTTATTTGTTGCGAGGCAAGTTTCCCAGAAACTGTATGTGCTGTCATAACCTTTGATACTGTGCCACGTGACATGGCAAATAAATTGGCAAATTTTATTCACAGAGGCACCAGCTCAGTGGACACCAGCAATTTGTCCTCTTTGGAGCTCAGTAAGCTCTGACATGACTCCATATTACAAGCAGAGCAGAAAGGTAGCGATGAAAGTGAGGGTTCCCACCTGTTAGCTAGGTGTCTCATCATACAGCAAAACAGTGTTACATCCCTTCCGCTTTCATGTCGTCACTTCCAAACCTGCAAAACATAGAGTGTTTCCATTTTTTTGTCTAACCCCTGCATGCATTAATAATAATCTAAATCTTTTATATCTGCCCAGAATTCAGCTTTAACCGGTCCCACGCCGCCCTATAGCAGAAATACTGCTACAGGGTGGCAGGGGTGTGCAAAACACGTATATATAAATCCTTGCAGCTTCTTATATCTGTCCCAAACCACAACAGAGATAAGGTTGTGACTGTAATCCTCACCGTGTGCTCACAGAAGTATAGTGTGGATTGCTCACTCACCAGATCCTTTGACCCCAGTTACGGTGATCAAATACCCCTTTCGTCTTATAGGGGACCACCCTCTCTCAATGTTATCTCCATTACTCCCCTTCAGCAATTCATTAATGATGGCCAAGTATAAGGGATCACAATTTGCCTCCAATATGATGCTTTATAGGTATTCCTCCCACGGGAATGCAGCTGACCATTAAATGAATCAAAAAAGTAAATTGCTCTCTAACTGTAGTATTTTAATTAAGAAACAATGGTTACATAAAAACACTATATTGCACTCACATGTAAAGGTTCCTATAGACTGGCACCAGTGTTTCCAGCTTGTAAAATTCTAAAAATGGCCGTTATGCACTCCAAGCGTCGTTCTCACTCTGCTTGGATGTTCCCGGACCCAGAAGTGACGTTATGACACTCTGACGTACATTTTGCCCAGCGGCGTCACCAGGTCAAAGGATCTGGTGAGTGAGCAATGCAAACTATACTTCTGTGAACACATGGTGAAGATTTCAGTCACAACCTTATCTCTGCTGTAGTTTGGGACAGATATAAGAAGCTGCAAGGATTGTCACTTTATCTATGGACTTTTTCACCATTTCACATTTATATGGAATTAATTGCTAAAATTGGCTTGTAACTGTTTAGAAATATCAGGTTTGGTCCATGCACTGGGGGGTGTGCACCAAATTTGAGGCACTATATACAGAGATTTTTGGCAAAATTAATCCCTCACTTATTGCACCTACACTTGTTTTAATTGTTTTGTGTAAATGTACCACCTACCTATTCTATTCTATGTTATAGTGAAATCTTCACTATATTAGGGGCAGCTTCACACTAATTACAATCACATTAGTATTATTTGGCACCTAAATAATCACTTTTTTTTTTAATAGGTTTAAGTGTGCCTAAGAAATCCCACCAAAGTAAGAGGGTCTTTTTCTACTTTTTATCTATTTTGACTCATTCTTTTGAGAATACAGATTACCTGATCTTTTGTTTGCCTGTTCGTGTGTGCAAAGACTAATACAAATGCCTTATTTTACCTAGGAACAACTTTTTAAAAATAATTACCGTATTTTTCGCTCCATAAGACGCACCTGACCATAAGACACACCTAGGTTTTAGAGGAGAAAAACAAGGAAAAAAATATTCTGAACCAATGGACAGCAGACATAGTACAGGAGATGACCAGAGACTGCAGACACAGTAGGAGATGACCAGACAGGTACAGGATGACCAGAGACTGCAGACACAGTACAGGAGATGACCAGAGACTGCGGACACAGTACAGGAGATGACCAGAGACTGCAGACACAGTACAGGAGATGACCAGAGACTGCGGACACAGTACAGGAGATGACCAGAGACTGCGGACACAGTACAGGAGACAGACTGCGCGGACACAGTACAGGAGATGACCAGAGACTGCGGACACAGTACAGGAGATGACCAGAGACTGCGGACACAGTACAGGAGATGACCAGAGACTGCAGACACAGTACAGGAGATGACCAGAGACTGCAGACATAGTACAGGAGATGACCAGAGACTGCGGACACAGTACAGGAGATGACCAGAGACTGCAGGACACAGTACAGGAGATGACCAGAGACTGCGGACACAGTACAGGACCAGAGACTGCAGACACAGTACAGGAGATGACCAGAGACTGCAGACACAGTACAGGAGATGACCAGAGACACACAGTACAGGAGATGACCAGAGACTGCAGGACACAGTACAGGAGATGACCAGAGACTGCACATAGTACAGGAGATGACCAGAGACTGCAGACACAGTACAGGAGATGACAGAGACTGCAGACAGTACAGGAGATGACCAGAGACTGCAGACAGTACAGGAGATGACCAGAGACTGCAGACAGTACAGGAGATGACCAGAGACTGCAGACAGTACAGGGGATGACCAGAGACTGCAGACAGTACAGGGGATGATCAATAGACTGCAGACAGTACAGGGGATGATCAAGAGACTGCAGACAATACAGGGGATGACCAGAGACTACGCTCCCACTTCCGCGGAGTTGTCCTCCCTTTAGTGTGGACACCCAGCTGTGACAGCCGGGTGCCCACTGCGCATGCACGAGAAGCGCATGCTGCTTGTCGCGCATGCGCAGTGGGCACCTGGATGTGACAGATGCCGGCGCGGGAAGACTGTACAGCGCTGGACTGAGGAACATGTAAGGTCCTGCTGCAGAGAAGAGCTGAGCGGCCGGCCTGGTATTCTGGCACGGTGTCGGCGGAGGAAATACCGGACCGGCCACTCCATATTTGCTCCATATTCGCTCCATAAGATGCACTGACATTTTCCTCCCTTTTTTGGGGGGAAAAAAGTGCATCTTATGGAGTGAAAAATACAGTAAATTAAAAAATAAATATTTGCCACTGTTTCTGGACAAACAAAAAGACAGCCAACAAAGTACATGGCACTAAAAGTTAAAAAGTTGTAGACCATGTTAGCAACAGTAATGAAGTATAGTTTATTTTAATCTGTATCAAGTCAAGTGTTAGCCAACACTGGTTTAAATTACTTTTAAAAAGTAGTTTCATCACATTTTCTAGTATATATACACCTATACATACGTAATCCTTACATGTAATATTACAAAGGAGTTTTCCCTCTTATAACTACCCTTTTTTATCAGTTCCAAAAAGAAATAATTTAACCTATACATTCAGATTGTGTGATGCAGTGCAGTAACAAAACATATCAGTTTCCAAAATAAATATTTTAATTTAAACCTTCAGATTGTGTGATGCAGTGTGGTAAAAAAATTCTTGCCACCTATAGCAACCAATCAGAATCCTTGGTTAATTTTTGAATGTACACTGTTAAATGGCTGTTGGAAGTTGATTATGTTGGACAGCAAGAACTTTTTTTTTTTCTACAAAGAAACAAGATTTCCTTTTCTTACAACACACTCTGTATAAGTCAACTCTCTATGCTAACTAACCTTCAACTCTGTCTGTTCGTACTGATTTACACTAAGCTACTGTTAAAAGTCTCTTTTAGACTTTGACATATAATTCTATTATGAATGCAGACTTTAAGAAAGACCAACTATTTCATACTGAATTCAATTAAGTGTACTTTTAAATCAATGCTTATTTTTCCAAAAAGTGATAAAAATTACAGCAATAGTGTTAAAATAGTGCTATTGTTTGTGTATGAGTGAGTGAATTCATTGATTAATTGGTAATGATTTTGTGGACAGCCCTTGAGAACATCCAACATACTGCTGGACTGGAACTCCTAGCAACAACAATAAAGTGAAGCCAAGAGGATTAAAGTAGACTCATATTGTTAATCTTACATCTGGCTGGTAAAGGGCAAGGCTTCACCACAGGGACCCTTGCGTCAGGAGTTCTTATATAGTTGTCAGTACCAATTGAGCTTACTTACACACACAGTTTCATGCAGGACAATGCAGAAGGAGTATTGTGGAAAGGAGAATGAAAACAAGATATACTGTCGCCAATTATCCTTTCATTCCTCAAAGACACAAGTACACCATATACTGCATGTTCCATAACTTGCAGCAAATACAGACCATATCTGAATCATATTATTTATTGTTAAAGCATCATAAAATAGCAACCATTGTGTTATGACAGCCATCTGAAGTATTAACTGTACTTAAACAATGTGAAGCGCCATAAATATTATCAGCAATAACACCACACAATGCCCATGTTGTAAAAGATAGAGCTACAACAATGGGGAAACTACTCCTCTGCCTCTTCTGACCTTGGTTTAACCTACATTCTGCTCATTAATCTCCAATAACATTTTATCAGTATTACCAAAAAAGTTAAAAGGTGAGTTTTGTGGAACGGTACTGTCATATCTTAATCATACAGTACAAGACACAGGCTGAGTATTTATAAACCTTGGGTCATAGGCTTGTACCTTCTGTTTATTGGACACTGGCAAAGCTTTTGAGAACACACCGCCTAGGAAACCTCCCCTATAACCCTTCCCCACTCCTTGAGTCTTCAATTTTTTTTATAGTGTCCTAAGGTGTTGGGCCTCTTTTCCCTTATGAAGAAATCACTTTCAGCTTAAATAATTTATTATTATATCTTCTGATTCTTCAATAAGCTCTTCATTTTAATCTAATACCACAACAGAAGCAGTGCATCTGGATCAGTGCAACCTCTATAAAACCTTGGGTGCTGCACCCGGACCCCATGCCATGGGAACAGACTGCAATGTTCTTTTGGGGTACTAGATTCTGCACAGGCACTCACCTTGGCACTTTGTGCAATGTGTGTAGTCAGCCAAAGGGTGATAAACAGGTCCTGGAATGTGGTCCATCCCTTTGGAACCAGACCCTGAAAACCCTTTGGGGGTATGCCCACCATGATAGACTAAGCCTGGACTCTATATAGGGTCCAGCATCATGGACAGGTAAAACATGGTCATCTTGAATCTTTACTGTAAAAATCGGGGCTATGTTTGGAATGTATTCACTATACAGTACAAAATTTCAAAATTTGGAGCTAAAACTCAACCACTCAGAACTTACTCTCAGGTGGATGACCAAATGTGACTTCTACCTATAGCCCTTATAAAGCTTTCGGGAGCCCTTTTTTAACAAGGACTTTGCTACAGGATGGGCTACACTTGTATCGCTGCATACACCTTCCAGATGCACTTACCCTATATTCCACACTCAATTCAGTGAGTACCTCCTGGTGGTGATGCTTCTCTTTCACCGAAGCAGGATCCAATTTTAACACTGATCTCTGCATACAACTCTAGTTTCATCTTAGGCATGCAGCAAGCAGCCTACCTGACAAAGACAGATTTTTTGCATTTATGTCACAATTTTTCAAACAATGAATGGCTTTAATACAGCTATCTCTGTCTAGGTTGTTATAACACCAAGCCTTTTCTCCAGTTCCTTCATCTCTACTTGAGTGGGATTTCTATATGTCCAACCTAGAAAAGGTGGACATAGAAGGGAATGAAGAGGAGGCAGTGGTAGAGGAAGCTGTGAAAAACCCCTCATCCCTAAACCTCCATGTACCTGAAGTTGCAGCTTCACTCGATACGATTGCTAATGTGGATGTGCTCAAAAAACTTGGCAATGTCTCACTTGTTTCTCCTCATTCTTTATCTCGCCATAATCTTTTGGGTATAAAGAGACCTGCAAAATTTAAAAAGACATTTCCTGTTCATTAAAAAATTGAATGGGCAATCTATGATGATTTGGTCAATCTAGAAAAGATTTTCACTCCTCTGAAAATAACTGCTGAACTCTATCCAGTGGAAAAAAAGCTCATTAACCACTTTCCGTCTGCCCATCTGCAATGTACTGCAAATGGGCGGGATCTACAGGACCTGCGACGTACCCATAAATTGCTGGTGTTGTACCAATACAGGGAGTCACTGCGTGCCCGATCGGGAATGCAACCCTGCCCCCCACGTCTGCTGTGTCCTCCGGATACAGCTGAATGAAAATCCTGTGAATAGGACACGGTGGTCATGTGATCGCATAGCAATCACAATGATAAAAAAGCTGTTATGAATCAATCCGATTTATCCTTTTCATCAGCATTTGCATTTTGAAGTGGAAGACAATCATGTCCACTTTGTTGCACTGCCTTTAGGCCTATCCTTTGCTCCCAGAGTATTAGCAAAGGTCCTAGCACCTCTTCTTGCCTTTCTAAGAACTCAGGACATCCAGGTTATCTGTTAGCTGAATTACCTTTTCCTGAAGGACTCCTCCTTCCAGCTCTCTGCAAACATCCACAAGATGCAGTTGGGTGATCAATTTCCAAAAATCTGCTCTGTAACCTTCTCTTCACCTGGAATACTTGGGTCTGGTCCTGGATACATCCCAAAAGTCTTCCTTCCAGAGTAGACAACGCTCTCACTTAGTGCTCACACTTGGGGAGTTTATGTCAAAGAGACATATTACAATGAGATTCTCCATGAGAATTCTAGCTTTCATGGCAGCCTCTTTCGAAAGCTGTGCCATTCACCCACTTTCATTTGAAAACTCTCGAGCACAACATCTTGTTGACCTGAAACAAACATGATCCCTTCTCCACCTATCTATGCTTTTGTCCAGCTAAGAAAGGAATTCTCTGCAGCCCAGCCTTACCAATGGGAAAGTCATTCCTTTCTTATCACTGGAAATTGATAACAGGTTCCAGCTGGAAAGGAGTGTTCCAGTTTCTTACAGTCCAGGGAACATGGTCATTGGTAAAAGCCAAGCTCCTCATTAACATTCAGGAGTTCAGAGTAACTCTATTGCTCCAAAAACTGGAACCCCCTTCTGCAAAGACATTCAATCAAGGTGGAATTAGATAGTGCCACAGCTCTGGCCTACATCAACCACCAAGGATCACCAGGAGTCATGCAGCCTTGAAGGAAACAAGTCAGATCATCTCATGAACTCACTGTCCAGCAATCTCTGTGTTCCAAGTCCTAGAAAGGGACAACTAGAAAGCCGGCGCCTCCTGAATCGAGGGGAATAGGTTTTAACCCTGACATTTTCAACATGAAATGGTGGACCCCGTGTGACAGATGCGGCGTCAGACCCCCAGCCCTTCTCACCAACTTGTGACCGAAGGACTAGACAATCTAAAACCGCGCTGCCACTACAAACTATGTGCCGCAGCCTAAGAACGATTGTTACTGGGTCAGGTTAATTACGCAATTAACCCTTCACACTGCCACCACCACCTTTTTTGTACAGAGTGGGAGGAAACTCCCAATCTTAGCAGTAACACTATGATGTTTGAATAAGCATCTGTATACACAGTCACCGCAGGCAGATGTATGCAGAAGTTTAAAACACACAGTAGCGCTCTTCAGAGACAGGGATTCTTAGCTTGCATTAAAGAGCTTTAGAAACAGTTCAACACTTTTCATATAATAGGATTTATTAATAAAAAGGTCAAAATGGTGCAATAAAAATATTTACAGAAAAAGATGTAGCCAATATATATATATATATATAAAAATATAGAGAACAATACCAGAACAGGGAGATAACAGGAAGAAGTTTAGAGAGGTAGAATACTTTCCATCAGCCTTGGTTTAAGCAGATCAAGGTCCTGAACAAAAGGGTACCGTTCTCCCAAGATGGTTCCTGATGTTAAAAAGGGAGAATTCTTCATCTTACTTCTCCAGGCTTGACAGCTTATTTTGTAGTTCCCCAGCAGGGGGTTGGCTCTGAAGCCAAGGGCCAATT